TCCTGTGCTGTGTTGTGTTGTTTCGTGCTTCCGTTCTCGTTATTTTTGTGTTTTCTATTTCAAAAGGTTTAAAACCTTATCTTTGAATCTTCTTGGTTTGGAAAAGCAATCTGATTTAGCAACCGATTCTGGTTCAGGCTGTTATCGCCTTCCTTTCATCTTCCACGTGTGGTTTAGTTATCTCACGCTCTCTCTTGTATGCACTGCAACTCTCTCCGTGGCCCAAAGTGCCTTAAAATGGGAAGAGAAAGTGATTAGGGGACCAAAGGGGTGGGAAAAACAGAGATGGGGAGAATGGCCAGATTAAAAGCTTTAGTGGGGAGGCAACCACAGAGGAATGAACAAGCCAGCCTTATGCAGCCTCCTGGGCAGGCCAGCTTGTGAGGAAGGGTCCTAGGCAATTTGAGGAAGGGGTTCTTTTACCAAAGCCGCTTCCCTGAGGCTCCATCTTCCCCAGGCCAAGCCAGATGCTCCTGCGTGGCTTTTGAAGTGGGGTCTGAGTGGCCCTTGAGTCCCAGGCGAGCGACTCAGCTCTGTCTTCTAGGTCCTTTGCAGAAGACCACCGGCCACATCTGCTGGCCAGGGGTGAAGGGATAACCAGGTCTCCTCCAGGGCCCTGGCGAGACATTCCCCACCCCAATCCCTCTGACCAGCAGGTCGTGCTCAGCTCTCCGCTCTGGGGCACTCGCTCTGCTCCTGGGGGGAGGAAGCTGGCTGCGGCTGCACGGAGGGGCTCTTGGTGCCCAGGTGGAGGCGAGTGCACTGGTGGGATGGAGGCAGAGGGAGGCTCCCAGCTGCTCTCCCATTGTGCACCCCAGGGGATGCTCCCTGGGATGTCCTGGGCCCTGGAGCCGGACAGGTGGGTTAGGCCAAAGGATAAGTTCTGTTTTGGGCATTTCCTTTTGCCAGCCTCTCCCCTGCATGGCCTTAGCCTGGCCAGCCCACCCGCCCTTATTTGCCCCTTGACTTTCCCAGGGCAGCTGGGAGATGGGACATCCAGGGGACGAGAGCAGCGGCCAGTTCCGGCTACGGCCAGGGTGAGCTGTGCGGGTGGGGTGGGCATCCTCTCGGGCGCTCAGCCGGGCAATGCCCGTAAAAGGTAGAGGATCCAGGGCCAGCTGGTTAATTTCCGATTTAAATATTGCGAAGCATCTGAGGAGGGTGGTGAAACAGGGCAATTTGAGACCATTGGTAATTACTGTATATTTCAGCATGGCCAATTAACAGGAATTAAATACGGTAACGCATTTCAGAAGGCTTAAAAGCCGGGTCCCTTCTCCCGCGCTGCCAGGCCCTTGCAAAAGCAGCAGGAGGGTCCCAGCCCCACCAGGTCCGAGAACAAATCTCCCACTCCGAGCGATCGACCGATGGCGTCTCAGCCGCAGTGACCCCCCCACACCCCCCTTCCTGCATTTTTATAAAGAGGACCGCTCGGTCGCTGGTATTTTTAACTGGTTGTTTTCCGTCAAGGCTTATCACAGAGGCTTAAGAATTCCGGCCGCTTGCCCGACAGTTTTGGCTCTGCTCCAGCGTGGGCACCAGCCGAACTCGCCTCTGAGTAAACAAGCTTAGTTTATTATTAATGAATTAACTTTGTACCCAGGTAAGAATCATTGTTCTGAGGCAGGGAGGGTTTTGCTCTCTCCTCCAGAGGGATGACGAGGGAGTTCCCCCTTTGGAATCTGGATGCCCCTTGCTTGGACGTGAGTGGAGAGGGGGCCTTGCTGGGGTGTGTGAGTGTCATTTTCTAGTTGTTTAAAGAATTAAGCAGCTTCTCCCAGACTCTGGCCTCGTACACTTCTACACCCTCCTCTCTCTGCTCTTTCTGCCTCTCTTAGTTTCTGCTGTTAAGCTCCAAAGACAAGCTCCTTCCTTCAGCAACTCTCCCTGTGTGTCTGTGTGTGTGTGGAGGGGACCCTTCCCTATCCAGGGTTCATCCCTCATTCTGGCAGGTGGGGCCCAGACCCCTTTCCGGCCCTTTTCTTCCACCAGCGAGACCAGGTTGCAGGGCTACTGGAAGGAAGAGCCTGCTCCAGAGCCAAAGACCCCCGACTGCTGGACACGAGCGCTCCAGATGGAGAGCATGGAAGACCCTTCATCGGGCCCCCAACGGTGGCACATGGCCCTGTGACTGTGCCAGGGAGGCTCTACAGGTGGCTAGTCCCTTTGAGGAGGCCTGGCCTGGCAGAAAACCGGTCAGCCGCATCAAGAATGAAAAATCTCTCTTCGCTGGGCTTTTCTCAGCCAAGTGCAGAATGGCTGCTGAGAGGAGGACGCGTCCCCCTCCGTTGGGGGACCGGAAGTGCTGGACGCTGTGTGTGGGGAGCATCCCGTGGCTCGCTCTGCGCAGTTCCTGGAGATCCCGGCGTAGGGAAAAGCACCAGCAACCCCTGGTGCCCGGTTGTCTTTATTGCAAGGAAGTGCCTCCTGTTCCAGAGGGTGTGTGGGTAGCTGGGGGCAGGTCTATCCATTCCTCCCGGCCTCCGTCCAGCTCTTCCGCAGCCTCCCAGCCACCCAGGGCAGGAAAACACACTCCTGCGTCCGGCATCGGTCATTTTATCTGTGACACCAAAGCAGAAAAAAAAATGATTGTGGGGGGGCAACAAAGAAGGCCTGCCAAGGACGGGACTTCAGCCCACATAAGCCAGATGTGAAGAAAAATCCTATTTGTTCATGATGTTTTTAACTTTTTGTTCTCTTGCTGAATACTTTGGATGGCAACGCTTTTAAGGACCTTTTTTTCTGCAAAAAGGCAGGATAATCTTCTAGAACGTAATTATTAACGCTGAAACGATCTGGATAGTCTTAAGATGCCCCACGTTGGTGGTTTTCTATTTTAGGGGTCCAAAGTTGTGTTAATAAACAAAAGAGCATCGGCCGGGAGTGGTGAGGTTCGGGTAATAAAAAATGTGAATGAATGAATGAAATCAAATGCATGGAGGATGGGGGGGGATTTGTGTGTGTGTGGGGAGGAACAGTCTGGATCCCCCTTTCTCTTCTATGGGCAGCAATGTTCCCCCCCCCAGATCCCCCTTCCTCAGCTAGTTGTGTATCACAAGAGGAGACCTGCCAGTCCCATTATAGCATTTAAAAAGGAGAAAATACTTGTTTCTTGCTTAGCAACCCCCCCCACACAAATCCCCACTTTTAAAAGTGGGGAAAACACTCCTTTTTCCTGTCTGGGGTGCTCTCCGGGCACCAGCCCCTCCATTGCTTTTCCAGCCTGGTCTGCAGGCAGGCATTGCCCAGGTCAGCTGTTGGGGAGCAGAGGGGGCAGGTGGCTGGGGCTGCTGGGCATTGTAATCCTGAGGGAGCCTGTTCTCAAGGGCTGCCCTGAGGCCTCTCACTGACCCTCCGGCAGTGGGGCTGAAAGGCCGGCCAAGGATGATGGGCCGGGGAGCACCTTGAGCCAGGGGACGCTGAGGGACCCAAATCAGGAGAGGTGGGCTGCGAGGGGCCTTTGGGGAGAGGGGCTCCGTCTGGGCTGCTTTCCTGGCAGGGTGGGGAGGATCTGGCTGGCAGGGCAGGCAGGAGCCAAACCTGGAAAGAGAAAGGGTGCGTGTGTGTGTGTCAGGCAGGAAAGGCCCTCTGCACATGCTCCGAGGGCCCCACCATCCTGTCCCCCCCCCCCAGCCTGAGAGGCCGGCTCCCTCTGGGCTTCGCTTGCTTGGGACAGGGGGAGGCCTCGCTTTGACGGGGAGCCCCCCCTGAACCCCGGAAAGTGACGGAGGAGGGGGGCCCCAGGGCGGAGAGTCCTGGGGAGGGGGCGCCTGCTTTGAAAACGCCACTCTAGGGCTGGGGGGGGGGGCG